CGGGGCTGCAGAGGTGGTTTGGGCGCTCCCGTTGGCTTCGGGGTTGTTAACTTACCCCTCCGCCTGCCCCCGGGGCTGCCCGGGCGGGGATGTGCCCCCGGCGGGAGCCGCGCCCCGCGCTTCCTGCCTGCTTAACCTGGGATCAAGGAAGGGGCCGGTTAGCAACGGCGTGTAACTGTCAGGGGAAACACTTAATTGGAAGCACTTAATTGGGTATAAAGATAATTGGTAAAGAAAAGTGAAATGCCTTACTCCAGAATTACGGCATTGGAAATACCCAAGGTACGTGCAGACTTGGTAGAGTTTATAATAAAATCACGATTTTCCTGTACTTAATTATTTAGTAAGAAAATGAAGTGGAAAGAAAGAATTGTAATGTTCATTTGAATGATCAGTTCCACCAAAAGATCCTTGGTATCATCATAAAGTTTAAGCCACAGGACTGGAAACAAAACACTCCAGTCAGCAATAATTCAAACCTAGCAGAAGGCTCCCTCCCCCCCCAAGCTGCTTTGAGTCTGCTCCAAATACTTTGAGAGAGAACTCTGCAATAGCAGCCTTCGTGTTACTGTTGTTTGCAACTGCAGCCCAGTGGTCCCCATGGTAGACTACCTTCTGAACAAGCGTACCCAGACCCGATCAGCAATCTACACTGTCAGACAAAAACAACAAGAGAAGGAGAAAATACGTGGACAGCTGCTAACTTCAGTGTAACCATCCCACAATCACAAAACCCACCACTGCCAAGATAAGAAAAGCGAGGCTTTAGACAGCATTGCAGAGTATGATGGACGTGACAGCTTAAGGAGGTGAGGTGAAACAGGAGCGGTTCTGTATTCATGTGGAAACATTCACAATCAATAAATAAAATCTGTGTTCAAACACTTCCTGCCGACCCAATGCATTTTTAATTAGTAGCTGATGATCACAGAATAGCTTTTATCTCTTTGGAAAGTTATGCTATATTTCAGCACAAGTCATATTTTATTTATGCCTAGCTAGGTATTCATAATGTACTCAGTAAAAGAGAGGCCTCAGAAGTACTGGAATGAGCATGTAGAAATGTTGCACATTGTTGTTTCGTCCTCTTTCTTATCCATATAAAGCCCTTACGTACTCACCGAAGACCTGACACGATGTGCATTCCTCACTAGCTTGTTTTAACTATGGAGCATAACTGTCACTGGGTGTTCTGTAGGTAGTTGTAGAAACGCAGGCTTTAAAAAGTTAGTAAATACTGAATAAAAACCCCAAATACTAAAATTCCAGGAGATCTCATCAAAACCTTCAGACTGCTGCTAGAGGTCCTCTGAATGATCAAAGGGTGGAAGCATTTTCAACCACAAATATACTGGCTTACAGTAGAAGACCAATGCGGGAAACTCAATTATCGTTGATAACACCTCAATGAAATTGTCCAGCCTTTCAACCCTGAAGCCAACTTCAATATTGAAGAATGTGAGTGAGAGCATGGGAGGTAAACATGAATATAAGAAAGAAGAAAAGCTAAAGTATCTTGCAAAACACTCAAGGCCAAGAAACACGTAAACAGCTTAGTTCAAGACCTCTTTAAAGGACTCGTCTGTGTGTAACATTTGTTGCATGCTATTTTGTTGAGTTTGCTGAACTTTGGACAAGCATGTGTGCTTAGCATATTCACAGTGAGCCGTGAGGAAGCTGAGTATCAACAACGGGAAGGCATCTAGCAGCAGGCGAGGAGTAAAATTACCTCATCACTGCTGCGCTCTGGAGTTTGTGATGCTGTCCTGTAACACAGCTGCAAGAACCCAGAGGCGTATCACGACCCCAGAAAGCTGCACGCCTGGAAAAGGTGTGATAACAGTTCTTCCATCTCCTAATAAATGTCACTGCAGTGTTTTCAGGTACCTTGCTACTGCCATTCATGGAAGCTTTACAGTTTCCTATGTATCTATCTCCTGTCTACTCGTGAACAACACCAGAGAGGAAAAAAGCAGATAAAAAGGCCAAGACGAGGGTGGCAGAACACAACCAGGTAGTCTGGCTGAATCACCTCCGATCACGCTGCTTGCGGGGGAGGTTGACTCAGCAGCGCCCTGTCTTCAAGGTGTCCCCACTGGGGCATCTGTGCTTTGACAGTGCTACTGCTCAGAGCAGAAAGGAAAAAACACATGCTTAAATTTAAGCAGTCAGATAACAGAACCTGAGACACATTCATCCTTTTGACTGGATTTTAAGTTGTTTTTATAGAAAATTAATGTAATTAGGAAAGCTTTTTTGCTACAGACAACCTCTGTGTATCTGTCTGGAAACGGGGCCAAACAGAAGCCGGCAGTTTTACTCTATAAATAAATTTAGCTTGTTAATGCTTTATTCACTTTCCAGCAGTGTTTTACATCTTCAGTCTGCTTATGTACACAGTTCTAGACCAGGAGCAGAGTTTGGCTTAGATTTTCAAAAACCTCTTGAAAAAGTGTGCTAACTGGCTTGGGCCTCCCGCAGAGATGAGTTTGTGCTATTTAATGCCGCTGAAGCAAGCCCCTGCTTTCATGTGGATCTCAACTCAGCAATGCAGCGGGCCCTGAGGACATCCCAAGCCCCTCTTCTAAACAAGTCTATGTTGTCCCACCTATGAGGCCCAACCGTGCGGAGCTGGCGGGTAGTACTGGCTCCGGTCCATTCTATGTGCATTTGTCCCTCTGCACCTCATGGAGCCTACCTACACTAAGATGACTTGCATTAGCTTATCACTTCTTATGTCTCTTGGGTTGATAAGAATTAGTAGCGTGGCAATCTGTGTTCCAGTACTGCCCCATCAAGAGGGGTATAAAGGTCTCAACACTCACAGAAAACGGCAACGTGGTACGAGGGAAAGCTCATGTAACCTTACACGTGAATCAACGGTAAGTGGAAACAGCCTGCATCCCCAGATAATTATTATGAAATGTGATGCTCCAGACAATGAATGGACTTAAGTTCTTATTGTCTGAAAAGCCTTCTCCCCACCTCTTTCCTCGTGATCTTCTGACACAAACTCTACCCTCTTGGCAGAATCAACGAAGAAAAATAACAATAGAAAGTAACAGCTTAAGCATTGGTACTAGGCAGATGCTCTCCCATTAATGTCAATTGCAGCACATCTTACCCAAGGGTTTGTGATCTATTTCCAGGTTGAGAAATCGCATCTCTTTTTTTTTTTTCCCTGAGTAAAAACATAATGCTCTAAATGGAATTAGGCTGAAGCATAACCTCTGAAAGCAGCATTTTTCTTTGATTAAAGCCAGAAACGCATTCAACATTTATTCTACACACTTGCTTTCACATTTAATGGAATTAAAAGATTATTAAAATAACCCAAATCCTAAATAGCTAAACATTGTTCTAAGAGAATGCAGACTATTTCCCCTACCTAATTAAGACATCAAGCATGTGTGCATTCTATCAAAAAGCAACAGTAGCATGTCTGCAAGCACATCTGTATTGTAAATGACTTTGAAATTAAAATCACAAATTTTCAGTTATTGACTTGCTTCGCTAACTACAGAAATCCTTTTCCTGCACCCACAACTTTTTCAGTTGAACACTGTGTCCTAGCAAAGTCTAAGCAGCCTTTAAGAAGCCTTAGAGCAATTCCTCCTGTTTTGCAAAAAATAACTATGTATATTACAAAGCGAGACATTAAACTGTCTTGGGTGGCACTATAATTAAGAACAGATTAGCTTACCTAATAAACTGCACCCCTGCTGGTAGGGCAGGTTGGCCTACAAAAGGCTGAAATGTTCCACTAAAAGTACATTGCGTGCACTGCACAG